GTGGCTGCATCAGACTTCCCAGCCTGTAAACAGACAATGAAGAAGAATTGTCACAGTGATAAGGCCATCACTCTCTCATATATTACATTTTTGGTTTTGGGCTTAATATCGCTTTAAGTTTTGGTTTCGGTAAAGAATCTTAAAGTGGAGTTCCACCCAAAAGGGGAAGTTCCGCTTTAATGCTCCCCCCCCGCTCCCCATTAAGGATTAGTATCTTTGGGGAGCAAGGGTACCCGAATTTGACAGGTACCTGCTTCCCACTTCTGCTGCGATCGCCTAGGTGATCGGAAGCGGAAGATTTCATCACTCCCCGTAGTCTTCTGGGACATGTGACAAATCCCAGAAGACTATGGGGCCATTCACAAAGCGCAGCGCTCCTCGCGCATGCGCAGTGGGCACGCAGCTGTGAAGCCGCAAGCTGTCACAGCCGGGTACCCACACTAAAGATGCCGGCGCCAGGGAGCCAAGCGGGGGGGCGAGGACACCGCTGGACCAAGAGACAGGTAAGTGTCTGTATTTTAAAAGTCACCAGCTACAGTTTTTGTAGCTGCTGACTTTTTTTTTTTGAGCTGGAACTCCGCTTTAATTCCTGTTGGAAGTTTACTAAAAAGGAAAAAATATTTTTCTCCACAAGCTATCCATCTTTGTGTAGATAGGACAGGATTATGTACCAGAAAAATATCTTCAACAGCAAGAGTCAATAGCTGGAATAATTTCAGCCAGGATCTCAGAAATCCAGTACCATCCAGTAATAGATCTTGAAAGAAGTTCTCGTTTTTGAACTTTACAGCAAATGTATGAAAGAAAGATATAGGATCTCCTGATCTCCTTCTGAAAACCTGGGGAGAATTAACCTACATCACACAGAGATGATTTAATAAAAAAAAAATTTTAATCAATGTTAGGTAAGTCAAAGCATTGCGACGCACTAACATGCGTTCTAATAAACTGTATGCCGAGATCATTTTATGACAATGCACACTAGTCCCTGGCACCACTAGATGTCCTCAGTATGTAAGGTTGAATAATGGCCTGCATCATTCAACCCACTTCCTCTGAGCCCAGGCTGTCAGACTCCCCAGCCTGTGAACAATGAAGAACTGTCGCAGTGATAAGGCCATCACCCTCTCATAGCTTTCTCCTCCTATCAGCATGATCCATGTTGAAATGAATGGCTCCTTGTACTGCAATATCTTATTATCCTATTTCGGTACCTACACTGCTTGCATTAAAAAATACATTTCATGGTGTATTAATGAATATATTTGTGCATTTGTGTCTGTTACATCTACGTAGGGTTGAAGCTGGAAGTCGTAGCTCTGCGGTGGTCCTCAGGCCTGCCATAACACATAGTCTTCTATATATAACTGACCACATCCTACTCCGAAGTGTTTATAAGTAATCCAGCCTGCATTCAAATCGCATGGGCTTCGATGTTTATTTCTCACAAGTCTTTGACCTGCAATTCCTGCAGAGAAGAGCTTAGAAAAAGCCTGGGGCTCTGTGTGATTAAATCCACCTCAATGAGAATAGAAGATGCACAGCTAAGATATCAGTGCAACGACTTCAATAGTCTCACAAAGCACAAACATAAACACAGGATTCAGCAATATTCTGAACACATACGCCGCCGCTGGAATCTTATGACAGAAAGTCCTTGTGAAAGGAAATACAATACAAGTGGTTCTTGGAAATCGGACCCCCCGCATGAGGCCTCTCTGGTCATCTATTCCAAGACACCCCAGCTTCTTCAGTTCTGGAAGCTAGGCTCTGAGCCCTGTCTGCCTTTGTATATTCAGTCAATAGAAAAAAGCAGCTTTTATGACTCCAGTTCAATTACATGGAAATCCTAACTATCAACGTCCTTTATTTGCTTTATTTTGGTCTGTTTAAGATATCATTGAAATCATTCTGTTATAAAATGTTCAATAAGTACAAAAAATACCTGTTAGTGATGCCAAAAATCCAGGGCTGTCCCTTGTACATTGAAGTGTTTTCAAAGCTGGATAAATTACCTCTCTGAACTACAGAACACCTCCCAGTATGGATGAAGAGAGGGAAAGATGTTCTGTAGTCTTGGATTTTTTTTTTTCTTTTTTATGCTGACAATTTACCCCCGTCCCACCCCTTCCAGATGCACACATGCGCACAGTGCTACAGGTCCTAGCCCAGTGCCCTCCCCTGCATGCGCAAAGATGGCTGGCATTGAAATTGCAACACTCAGCATGCTTGCACAAATACTGAACACTCCCTTCGGCATATCTGTGCACGTGGCCGAGTACTGGTACTATGCCAGTACCGGGGGCTGTAGAAACCATCAAGCAGCAGCACAGCCGCCCAACTGCTTCCACCTGACAGGCAGGAGTCTGTCAGTATTATACACAACCCTGGTGGCTGCAGCTACCGGATTGTGTATAAAACCCCCCGCTGGCAGCAAAAGGGTCACGGGTCAGTTCACACCACGCCCACATCTGAATCGCACAGGAATGTGATTAATGGGCTGAAATTGCACAGCACCAACAAAATGATATGAAAGTACCATGCGAGTCAGTGCAAACAAATGCACTGCGTTTGCGCCTGCGTTTGGGGTGTTAGCATTTTACTGATACCCACGGCAGATTGCAAATGTAGTGCATTTTTCCTGTGGTATGAATCACATAGGAACGCATAGCGTGCTCTTGTGCGATTCAGATATGGGCATGGTGTGAACCGGCCCTTAAGCAGCATTAAACCCCAAAACAAAATGTGATGTATTGCAGCTTACCAACTGTTAGGTGTGATCCTGCCAGTAAGTCTGTTATCTTTCAACCTCCTTTAACAGACCAACCTGGAAATAAAAATTTATTGTTGTACTGTTTAAAAAGTGTTAGCTGGAATTTGAATTTTTTGTTAGTTAAGCCCATCTAAAACTGACCATACATTGATCTTTTTTTTTTTTCAGCAAGCGGGCTGATCGAAAAAAAAAAAACAAAAACAAAAAAAACAGAATAGACTGTCCCATCCACACAGTCAGGGTGGATGAAAAAATTCTCCCCACTGCACTACTATATTCTGACAGCGGGACTTCTCCACTGTCAGAATACACTGATCAGCGCTACAGTTGATTGGCTGCATGCACTGATGAAATGAAAATTTACCAACAGTCCTGTTCCCGTGGAGTCTATTATTAGATCAATTCCTCTTGATCGGGAACAGCCACAGATGGATCAATATTCAATCCATCTACGGCAAGCTTAAAAGGAGAAGTATAGCCAAAGCTATTTAGGCCGCACTTCTCCTATGGATCATAGGAGTGCAGTTCGTTCTGCACCCGTGTGACCCGCTTTCAACAGACAGTGGGCTAAAGCTTGCTGTTGACTGCCACAGAGCCGGTCCAGGCTCTGAAAAGATCCCAAACACATTGTCGGTATCCACCCAGGAGCCTGGACTGACAATCCACCCAGAGACTGAGCCAGCCCCTCTCGCCCCCTTCAAAGCCCAGCATTCCAGTGAGCACTGGGGGATGCAGAGCAAAGAGCCAGAGACTGACAATCACTGAGTCAGAGTGGAGAGGGAGAACAGTGTGATCAGTGGTGTTTGATCTCTCAGTTCCCACTGCAGAGCTAACGGGGGACAGATGCAGCAGCGGACCAATGCTGCATCCACGTAGGTGATAATTGATGACCATACTCCTCTTTTAACACTACCTTCTCTCTAGATTGACAATACTGCTGTCCCAAGAGTTACTCTGTTGCAACTCTATCCAAAGTCACCACACCCTAAGACAGGAAATGTGTAACTGGCCACCCCACCAGTTAAAATGAGGGGGGAAATGAGCCTAAAAAACAAACCAATGCAGTCTCAACATTTAAGGACTGTTAAGCTACAGTATCAGAAAGGAAGGGTACAGACAATCCCACATCTGGGTGCTCTGTAGCAATGATGCAGGCTGTCCCGAGATCACAGTATAAATGAAAAAGGGGGAATTAAAAAAGCCAGTTATATCCTCAGGGGTGGGACCATCTGGAAAGTGGGTGTAATCTGGAAGGGACCACTCAGAATGTGGGCAAGATCCAAAAGGGACTGCTCAGAAGGTGGGCATGTTAAATGTTTGCAGGAGTAACAGTGTCCTGGGAACTGGAGAAAATATGTTGGCAAGTATGAACTGCATAGCCAGAAAGATGACTCAAGAACTTCCTACTTCAGCTTCACTGCTACCTGACTGTCCAGCCTGCAAGCTGGGGAGAGGTAACAAAGCTGATTCATTGTCCGGTCACTGATCTGGAGGAGAGATGTCATGGGAAGCTGCATTGCCGATCCAGGAAAATAAATCTGTAACCTGCCTGACTCTGCAGTGTGACAGCGCTAAGAGAACAAAAAACAAGCCTGTCTGTACTGAACAAATCTTTTACCAGATAAAATGGTTAACATGTATGTTCTTAAATATGTATATAGCTATTTGCATGGAGTTCTACATTAGAGCCTGTTCACACCAGCATGCAGTGCGGAAAACCTGAGTTCTGTGCGTGTTTCCCTCACTACATTCAAAACGCACTGCAGCTGCAATCTACAGAGGGTGTCAATATTAAGTTAATGACCCTCCAAATGCAGGTTGCAAATGCAGTGCGTTTTCCCCCACACCGGATCGCACGGTACAAAATTACCATAAAATGCGGTTGCAAAAGTAGAGCATGCACTACTTTTGGTGTGGTGAGATTTCAGCCCATTCAAAATAAATAGGTGGAAATCACACCGCACAGAATTGCATGTTCCTGTGTGATTCACAGTGTCTTTAAAGTCCAGCTCCAGAAATGACATAAAAACTACTGGTTCACATATGTGCGGTCCTGCGGGCCGTGTTTTGCGCATGCGCGAGAGCCCATTCATTTGGACTCCCGTGCCCCAGGACACGCAGGGAAGAAGTCCCTGCACTTCTGAAAACACAGCCCACACGGGAACCTCGGATCCCACTACGGTTGAGATTTCCAGTGTGGGCGGCGTGCCATTAGAAATAATAGCACCCGCCTGAGGGTCCGCATTCCTCTGTGCGGGTGCTGCGGCTGCATGGATTTTTGTGTGGATCTGCAGCGGCACCACCTGCACAGATGTGAACCTAGCCTAAGAAGCTGAAAAATAAAGACTTACTGGGCAGATCTACAGACACTAATAAGCTCTCATTCACACGGGCTTAATGATCAGTACACCCATGTAAAGGGTCTTCTTCATTACACGGGGGTGCACAGGTTTTTCCTGCAGAGACGTGCAGTCACCCTTTTCAAATCAATGACAGGCAGACAGCTGAGCGGGTCTGGATGGATCTCTGAGTGCATCCCAAAATGTATATCCATGTGGGAATACAGACAGACCTGCATGGTATGTGAGCAGGTAAGTGTGCGACCACATGGCAGAGCACCTTAGACAGGAGGTTGCATAGGACCGGTCACACAGATGGCAGAATCCTGCCCATGAGAGGTATAAGGCAAGTATTACAGCTTGCTCCTATACCTGACAAACATTTAAATGTAACCCTTGCAGTGTGGGGGAGCTCCAGTGCATGAATTTTTTTTCTTTTGCTCAATGCTTAAAAAAAACAAAAAAACAAAAAACAAAAAAACAAACCAAGATATGGATCAAACTGAAATAGCGGTGCATGTGAATTAAATCTATGTAGAACCGGCAGTGTTTTTAAAGAATAATTCATGAAGAAATGTGCAAACTACAGCAATTACCCGTTGATTCTGACAGTAATCTGTCATGCTTCCTGTAGTGAGCCGACAATGCTGCCTTTGCTGCACTGAAATCCTAAGCAGTGTAATCAGCCCCCTTTGAGCTCACCTCCCACTTATGTTATGGCGATGAGGAGAGGGGGAGGTGGTCTGTAGATATACTGTTCCAGCAGGGGAGAACTAGACAGGATTGGAACACTGATTGGGATTTCAGAGCAAGAGAAGCATTGCTGTCACAGTTCACTACAGAAAATTAAGAGCTTACTGAACTTTTGGAAGGATCAGCATATATTTCTGTACTTGGTGAGCTTAGGTCTCAAACAGGCTCTTACACCAAGAGTCTATGAATGGGCCATGTTTCTAAGCAGCTGGGGCCAACCAGGTGCTGCATACAGGCAGCCCATTCAGGTCTATGGGAACGCATTGCTTGGATCCCAATCTGACAGCCGTGTGGGTAAGCGGCTCCAAATGCAGACAATGCACTGCTGTCAGATTGGGACAAGTGGCTGTATCTGTGAAGGCGATGCCATCCCATAGACCTGAATGGGCTGCCTGATCACAGCACCTGGTTGGCTCCTGAGGTTTAAAGACATGACCTTGGACTACAGGTGTAAGTGCTTGTGTGAATGAGAAAACATGGGAAATGTGCATGTACTGCAGATATGCACATTATTTTTTTTTTTTTTTAAATAAGGTCCAGACATACACTTTAAAGTGATAAAGTCTTTTTTTTACACAAACATGTCTATACTTACCTGCTCTGTGCAGTGGTTTTGCACAGAGCAGTCCGGATTCTCCTCTTCTCAGTTCCCCTGCCTGACCTTCTGGCCCCTTCCTCCTGTAGGGTGCCCCCACAGTAAACAGCTTGCTATGGGGGCACCCGAGCAGGCGAGCTCCCGAGCCACGGCTCTGCGTGTCCACTCAGACACAGAACTTTGACTTGGCTCTGGCCCCTCCCTCTCCTGATTGGCTCACTGGCTGTGATTGACAGCAGCGGGAGCCAATGCCTCAGCTAATCAGGAGTGAGAATCAGAAAACAGACACTCTCGTGGACATCGCTGAATTGCGATGGGGCTCAGGTAAGTGTTAGGGGGGGCTGCTATACACATAAGGTTTTTTTTACCTTCATGCATGTAAAAAACCTTGAGCCTTTAGAACCACTTTAAGTCCTCTTGCACACTGCAGCTTGAAAAAGCCCAGTACAGCATTTTTTTTTTACTAAGGTAAAATGTAGCCCATTATTTACAATGTGCCTGTTCACATGTTGTGTTGTTATTATTATACAGGATTTATATAGCGCCAACAGTTTGCTCAGCGCTTTACATTATGGTGGGAGACAGTACAGTAACAATACAGTTCAATACAAAAGGGATTTGAGGGCCCTGCTCCTTGGAGCTTACAATCTAGGAGTGTGTTAGTAATTTACGTGGCATGTGCGTGAATACGCATAAATATTCATGAATTTTCTCTAAGAGTATACTGTGTGCGCCAGTGCGTGATCATGCGAATACGCGCAAAACAAACTGCGTCCAAAAAAAGCAGATACCCTAAGTCCTCTTGCACACGTTACTGATGTTTGAGGTCTAACAGGTGTATTGTGTGGCAATAAACTAAAAGTTATTTGGAATTACAAACCCAGCCAGTAAGGGAAAATTTTGCAAACCTGCAAAAAAAAAAAAAAAAAAGGGAAATGGGTAGCAATAAAAGACAATGTTCTAAACAAATGTGGAGGGACCTCAGCACTTTCTGACAAAACCTATATTAGCAGAGAAATAAACCCCAGCTGGCCACTTGTCAGGATAAAATAATGGCTACCGATGGGACTATAAGAGCCGAGCCGCTGCTGGTCCCACTGGGATGCAGACTTGTCTAGAATCATTGTAGGATGTACTGTCATAAGGAAGAATGACAGTGGACGGCTCCTCTCCCCGGCAGGCTCTGCAGCAACTGAGAGTGTTACTTGGCTGCGATGTGTAATGCATCCTGATTGAACACACGAACCTGCTCTGCTCTGTCTCGAAAATTAGTTTTCCAGACAAGTCTCATAAGAACAGCATTTCAAACAGATTGAATGTAAAATAAACTGAATATACATACACTATAGAATAGTGACAACAACTATCAATAGAAGGGCTATTTTTCCTGTAATATAAACTGCTTTCCTTACACATTACCATCTGATTTTATCATATCTGTTCAATGTCCTTTCAATTTACCAAAACTACGGAAAATGAGGGCAAAGATAAACACTCCATTCAGTCTGCACCCATTGTGTAGGCCCTTACAATACATAATAAAAGGGGATTGTACAATCAGACTGTGAAGTGCATTGTCAGTTTAAAGCGGAACGTAACTATCTGAGCACCGAAAACTGAATATGTTATTTCATTCATTTTTAATATTCAAAGAAAACTCACCCATCCAGCCTTGTATCCTTGTTTTATTTTGCTGAGAAATCATTTTATAAACCCCGTCAAGCATTTTAAGCCTCAGTCATCTTGAGGTTAACATATGTGTGGGTGGTGCCGCTGCGGATCCGCACAAAAATCCACCCACACAGAAGAATGCGGACCTGCGGGCGGATGCCATTAATTCTAATGGCACGCTGCCCACACTAGAAATCGCAACCGCACTGGGAACCGAGGTTCCCGTGCGGGCTGCGATTTCCAAAGAAGTGCAGGGATGTCTTCCCTATGTGTCCCAGGGCACGGGAGTCCATTCAAATGAATGGGTTCTTGTGCCCATGCAAAACGCAGCATGCATGGCCGCATATATGTGAACCAGGGCTGAGGGCAGATGATTCATGTAGCATTTACATCCTGGAATCCATCTGCCCTTAGCCCAGGCATTCAGGCAGAAGGGTGTACGTAGCTGAGAAAGCCCTTCCTTCCCTACTCCAGATGAAAGAAAAACAAAATGGCCATTAAGATTCCTGGGATGTAAAAAAAGAAAAAAAAAACTTTAAAAAAAAAGGTACATATACCTTACTTAAGGTACATATAAAGGTATATCTATTTACTAAGGCTAGCAGCATAAGGATTTTACAAAGTGCATGCTGATTGAGAGTAAAGTTCTGCTTTAATATACTGCTTATAGTTGCAAAGTAGAGACATCTGTATTTTAAAAACTAAACTTTAAGCAGATACAAAAGACATAAATAAATGCAGATATATATATATGTAAATGCAGCTAGCTGAATCTGACTTCCATCATGGCCACGATAGGAAGCTGGTCCCTCTGGCTACTGATCTGTAGCCCATACTGAGCCATCTGCGACAGACTGGTCTCTGTGCTGTGATCGCTCAGTGAGCGCACTCTCAGCACAAAGACAACAGCCATTCAGCGACACAATTGTGCGGCATGTGGGCATTAAAGCCCACCCTTTTGCTGCTGCACATATGTCAGGCGGATTTAAAGAGGTTAAACCCTAATTATTTTTTTAAGTTCTCTTTGTGGCCCATTCAATTCCCCAAATGACCTCTTCCATCCCCATTTATTGTGAGGTTAGAGGAAGTATATTGTGTGCTCCTACCTTCTTCTCTGACAATACAGAGTAGTATTGGCTTGTGGCTATGTGTGGCTCCACCTGCAAATCTGCATCATCCATTCACAGAGGGATGTGAATGGAGAGACTACAAGTCCATCTTCTATTGAGGCAGAAGGCCACATAGATCTCAGTGCAGTGATGTCACCACCCATGTAGTCCATTGTTTATTTCCTTTAGCTCCATAACTGTAGATCTGTTTTTTGTGCTGACCTGGGGCTTAAACGGTCATTAAACCCACATCTTTAAAAATTATCAATAAATTCTGTATTACATGCTGGTTATTCTCACTTCATCCCTATGGAATTTGTTTTCTGTATTCTGCAGAAGACCTAGTAGATCATGCTGTTGTGTCTCCCTCTCCTGTCTATGACCCCACTTCAGGAAGGGATTTTGCAGAGCAGTGTTGGCAGGTAGTGCACATGCTCAGTTTTTAGTCTATTTCTACTCTGAGCATTTCCTATCAGACCTGAGCAGCCCACGTGAATATAGAGTCACACATGTGGGCATATACATAGTGGTAGATGACAGCCCAACTCCTTCTCTCCTCCTAAATGCCCACTTACCAGCTAAACACAATGGGGTGGGATATTACATATTGATTGATGAAGGCTTCACCTCCCTGTTGATCTAAGACACAGACTGCAGGAGCGTTACAAAGCCTCTAACTGGCAGAAATACACCCACATCAGGTTATTGCCAAACCATAATACAGACTTCATTTCATACATATATTTGTATGACAGTTTATTCAGATTTATTTTTACTCAGTATCCCAGAGGCGGTTTTTTTTTTTTTTTTGGACATGTGACTAGAAGCTCCTCCTGCTACTGTTTCCCTGCAAAATAATTAAGAGTCATTATCCATATACAGAAAGAGATGTGACAATGTAAATTAAACAGTGTGTGTGTGTATTACTAAGGGGACCAAGAGAGGAGGAGGAGGGAGCCTTTGGAGGGGGAGAACCCAGAGATAATTACACAAAGTCTAGTTATCTTTTAAATACTCTCTTCTCCAGGGGAGGGGATTTGTTGTCCTAATGACACATCCTTATCCTTCTTCATGTGGAGCGACTTATGACTGATTTTGAACATATGCATTTTCACTGTAACACAAGCTGTTGTTTAAATAAAATAAATAATTTAGACACAAAAAAGGACAGACAAGAAGATGAACAGTTGGTGCAATTCCCCCCTCGCTCACGCGTGTCTCTTTTGCTAATTGTCCTGCCTTGTGATCCAGGTGACCTTACTAATCACCTCCCCGGGAGCACATTTTCCTACAGAAGTAGCTATCTGGTGAGCAATTATTTGCCGCTGTACAGAAATGTTAATTTCATGCTCTGTAAACACATTTCTTTGTGAAAGATAGCCTTCCCTGGAATGACTGCGTGCAACTTTACTAGCAGCAATCATTTCAGGAAACTAAGACCAAGTTCCACGTTAACCCCGTGTGCTGGGAGATCAGTACTGGTTTGGCAAGAGAGAGATGGGTGGGGGACTTTACATTTAGAGATACTGTGTCAGAAAAAAAAAAAAAGAAACCTTCTGCAGGTATAATTTGCCAGCAATACCTGCAGCAAAGAGAAAGTTCTGACACCTCCAGTTCCTAACATGTTCCTGTTGACTCATCACTATGAAGGGCTTGCCTCACTGACCAACAGGAATATGCAAGAGGCAGAAAGGGGCCTGGAAAGCGTAAAGTGTTACTAAAATCCAGACCCTGCATTAACTATAGCTGGTCACCCACAGTACACAGAACACGGAAATGCAATTATTTTAGTAAATATAAACTGCTAAATACATTTTCTCATCAGCAGTTAGAGCAGTCTTGTGATTTCAGCAGAGCACTGGTTAAAGCTTATAGGAAGAGTTTTCTTTCTGCTCTAGGAGGATGCAAAACCCCTGACCTCTGTCTGGACAGTGCTGATTAACCCTGTGCTGATCACATGCACTCTCCCAAAGCAAAAAAAAAAAACCTTTCTAGCAATACACACCAAACTGAGCATGTGCATGTGGCAACAGGTTCAGTCTGTCTCATCAGGAGATAAGATGCAGACATTTGAACAAGAGGCAGGGCAGAGACAATTTTTACACAATGCAGAGGATTACCCCCTTAGGTTCCACAGTGAGTATAACAAGCATGCTTTACTGCATATACAGACTGATTGTACTGTTGTGGGTTTAGTAACACTTTAAATACTATAAGGAAGTAAGAGTTGCTTGTCAGAACAGCGCAGAATTCTGCAATGACTTCAAACCTTTGAAGGTTGTTCCAAGTACACCAGCATTTTACACCTACAGCAGGTTTATTTTTTTTTAAACAGTCGCTCATTTACATGACCGTTCCCAGCTGTAAACTGCGCAGATCATTGTATTGGTGCTATGGGTATGGCCAGGTGTTTATCTTCTGCTGTGGACAAAAATCCTTTACAAATTAATATCAGGTTGACGCTGTCCACATGTAATCCTCCAGGAACGATTATATGTGGCTAGGGACAGATGATCCAATCTGTACGCAGACTGTTTGCATTCAGGACCACTCATCTGTTCCTAATCTCAGGTAACTGCTTCAGCTCATTTATAATGTACCACAACGGATTAAAAAACATGGATGACCCTTTTATTTTGTAAAAAAATACCACGCACACACTACTACAACGCATGGTATAGGCACTGTGGTGTGCAGTGTATTCTGCAGTACAACACAGTGGGGTGCAATTCACCATGAAAGCAACCGCACAGTAGGTCTGTGGTCAGAGACCAAAGATCCTGTGTGGAGATGGGACAAAGTTCCAGAAAAACAACCATCACTGCAGCCTTCCACCGATCTGGGCCAAATGGCAGAGTGACTAGATGGAAGCAAAACACAGTGAAGTATCAAGCTACAACATAACAAAATTGAAAAACGTGAAATGGGGACTGAATACTTTATGAATGCACTATATATACACAAACACACACACACACACACATATATATATATATATATATACACACACACATACATATACAGTTGTGTTCAAAATAATAGCAGTCAGACATCACTAACCTGGTCAATCACTGTTTTTGGTAGAAATGATATTTCTACATGGCAAATAATTTACTAGCAGGTGTAGTAGAGTAATAGAAATCCAACAGACCCAACAGTCATGACATGCATGCTACTGATTCTGTGTAATTGAATCACTAATTGAAAGGGGCATGTTCAAAATAATAGCAGGGTGGAGTTCTATTAGTGAGGTCATTCATTCTTTGAAAAACAGGTGGCAATTATTGCCCTTATTTAAGGAAGGAAGGCAGCAAATGTTGTACATGCTGGTTACAGTGCATTTCTCTCTGAAATTCTGAGGAAAATGGGTCGTTCCAGACATTGTTCAGAAGAACAGCGTACCTTGATTAAAAAGTTGATTGGAGAGGGGAAAACATATAAAGAAGTGCAGAAAATGATAGGCTGCTCAGCTAAAATGATCGCAAATGCTTTAAAATGGCAACCAAAACCTGAAAGACATGGAAGAAAGCGAAAAACTACCATTCGAATGGATAGAAGAATAGACAAAATGGCAAGGACTCAGCCAACAATCAGCTCCAGGAAGATGAAAGAAGGTGTAAAGTTACCTGTGAGGACTGTTACAATTAGAAGACGCCTATGTGAAGCCAAGCTATCTGCAAGAAGCCCCCACAAAGTCCCACTGTTGAAAAAAAGACGCGCTGAAGAGGTTACAATTTGCCAAAGAGCACATTGACTGGCCTAAAGAGAAATGGCGCAACATTTTGTGGACTGATGAAAGTAAGATTGTTCTTTTTGGGTCTAGTGGCCGGAGACAGTTTGTCAGACGACCCCCAAACACTGAATTCAAGCCACAGTACACTGTGAAGACAGTGAAGCATGGTTGTGCAAGCATCATGATATGGGGATGTTTCTCATACTACGGTGTTGGGCCTATTTATCGCATACCAGGGATCATGGATCAGTTTGAATACATCAGAATACTTGAAGAGGTCATGCTGCCTTATGCTGAAGAGGAAATGCCCTTGAAATGGGTGTTCCAACAAGACAACGACCCCAAACACACCAGTAAACGTGCAACATCTTGGTTCCAGACCAACAAGATTGACGTTATGGAGTGGCCAGCCCAATCCCCGGATCTTAATCCAATAGAAAACTTGTGGGGTGACATCAAAAATGCAGTTTCTGAGGCAAAACCAAGAAATAGAGAACTGTGGA